CTTGATAAAGAGGCTCTTTCCCATCTGCTCTTTCAAATCTCATTGGCACAGGCACACGTTTTCCTCTATTGTTTCAATCCATTTTCATAGTTTTACAAAAATTCAGCAGAAATTCAATTGAATTATATAATTGAATAGGAATCTCCAAGATTGACGACCCATATCGCATGAACTACGGATGCAAAAGAATTTAATATAGATTGCATCATCAGGTTCACAATAGCGGTTCTGATGATGTAATGTGCTAAAAAACATAAAATGAGATTAAAAAAATACAAATTGAAAAAAAAAAATAAAAACATAAAATATGCTAAAAAGCATATGCAATATTACTCGAGAAGATCGACTTAAAACTCACAACTATACATTCAAAAATCTAATATTGTTTCATGAAAATTTTTCCACCACCATTCATTTCTCCTCTTTTGCAAAATACTCTAATTCCTTAAAAACAGAAGTGGCCTGAAGAAATCACCACAGTAATGGCAAAACTGCTCCTCAAGGCAATCAGCTTTTAGGTCATCATCGTCACTAGAAACTCTCGTCTAATATATCCAAAGCTAATATTGTTTCAATGAAAATTTTGCCAACATCATTCACTTCTCCTCTTTCGGGAAGATAATCCCATTCCTTATAAACAGAAACAGACCAAAGAAATTTCCACTGCAATGGCAGTACCGCTCCTTGAGACAATCAGCTTTTAGATCATCATCACTAGAGACTCTGCAGAATATGTTACTGAATTTCACCCTTATATCAGCAAGCACGGGTGCCTGTTATGCATTTCATAATGAAAAAATTTTACAAACCTTGGCTCAATACCCAGACTCACCAAATACATCACTCCTTGAGACAATCACTAACACCTTTATTCTCCTTAGAATAAAGATAGACTTCAAAAACTGTAAGCTAGTTTATGGTCCCATTTTTTCTATATTCCAAAAGTGCGCTATAAGACACAGTAATTAAAGACTAGCTATGTTGATCTCAATTACAAAAATCCAATAACTAAACATAGACTCCTATCCTCGCATATTTAACTTCAAATATAAGAACTAAAATGGCTAAAAACAATTAGATAAAGCTGATACCAAAGAGTTGCTCACGAATGAGCACAAGTGACACAATAATCAATGATAAGTAGACCTTAATCGCATTCGATTAGTTTAATAGTGAAGAGGATGAGTCTCAATAGCTCTTTTGATTCGACAAACCCCAATCCTCTCATTTCGTTAAAAATCCAGTCAAAATTACGCATTAAAGAATCGGCTATTACCTGTTTTAACTCGAGCAAATCGAGAACCGATTGAGATTCCTGAATGAACGGCGTAACTATACAGTCATAGTGAAAGACCTCAGATCGCGAGGCGGTGATACCTTTTCCTCTGCGTATCGGATAAGCAAGCTTGCGCGTCCCGGCTTTGTAAAATCGACTTCGGAATCCGGCTGAGGAGAGGAACTGAAGGACGAAGACGGAGAGACCGATAGAGACGACAGAGAAATGCAGTTTAAGAGTTGAGATTTGGGAGTCTCAGAGAGAAAAAGCGGAACGAGACGGACGACTGATGAGATGAGATAAATGGACAAATAGCACGCTTGGACTATTTAAGGCTGGAATAGCTTGGCCGCGTAGCGTCGGTTTTAAGTCCGATTAGCGTCGAATTTAAGCCGTGCTCACTACTTAGGGTTAATGCGGCTCTTCGTTCCCAATCGCCAGACTCGGTGGTTCCTCGTGTTGTTATGACTTTTTGGGAGTAATGAAATTAATGATAAATGAATTTAATAAAAATAATTTCTAAATTTTATTTAAAATCTTTTAACAAAAATGGAAAAATTCTGTTATAAATTTCTATATTATTTTGTTAAAACTTTAAATTAAACACTTGAATAATTGAAAGAATGATTATTACAAATATATCTTAGACACTATTTTTCTCCAAATGTAATTAATTAGTAAATTATTATAGCGCTTCTAGATAATATTTTAAAGCAACATTGTTTATTTTAAATATTATATTCATTTAAAAATTGTTCTTTTTTTTAATTTATTTATAAATATAATTAAATTATAGTGTTCATTTATTTAAATTAATGCGTAATTATCTTGGCCAAATATTAAACTAAATATCTGTTTTTTACACGAATATATAATAGAGGGATCAGAATTTTTATAGTGTGTTTAATTAATTGATTTAACACATTTAATTACATTTAAATAATAGTATAACATATTTAATTGTATTCAAAAAATATTCAATAGTAATGACAAACTTAACATTATTAACACTATATATATGTATGATGACTCAAATTACTTCAATTCTAATTAAATTATTGTTTAATTTTTTATAAGTATGAGTGGAATGTTATTTTTTTATGCATGATGACTCAATTTAAGTTGACATATCAATGTACAAGTGTTATGTTAATGTAATTATTTATAATGATCATACTCATTATAAAGACATAATGTTAATGATAATAAGTACATAACTATTGAAATCTATTGTTTATTTATTTATTTGCTTGCTATAAGGAAAAGAGTAAAAAAAAAAAAACTATGGGTGTGAGGAAACAAACCCTTCAATGCAGTGATGTACGCATTTAATAAGTCGATTGATTCATACATTTGTCTTTTTAAATATTTAAAAAATGTGAATCGCTTAGTCAAAAATAAAAAGGTTCTACATATAGTTTTCAATTATAAATATATAATGATCAATCTTATTAAGGTCATGAATGATCTACATAAGTGTAAAAGAGCTAAACTCAAGAGTAAGTTTTATGGTTCCTTTATCCCATACTACATTGAGACCCTCCAAAACAATAATGAACTCGAATGCTATATGTTATATATAAAACCTGTGATTTAATGTCTATGGTTGTTATAAATGGGACCTCTATTTGTGACCTTTCTAATATCACTCTTGATCGACTCATCCGTATTAAGCTTAAACCAACTAGTCAAGAATATTGACCACCTCACTTTAGGGCTACCAACTCCATAACACGTGACCTGATGCCTAAACTAAAGGGGGTCGTGAACATCTCACCGCACCACACACAAACTCACTTCTTCTCCAAATAAACCAAATAGTGGTAGCAAACATTGAAGACCTATCATTCAACGAACACAATACAACCTCAAAGCCTCATTTGCATATTTATTCAAATAGTAGTTAAATACAGAGGCATTTAACCTAATTTTTACTATAAATTAATATTAATTAATTAATTTAATATTTGAAATTTATTTTTATTTAAAAGCGAAAGAATATCAATTTTAATGATCAAACTTGCATAATAAATTTAATAACCAATTATGTCACATGTCAAAGGTGTTAACATATTATCTATACAATTACTAAAGTTTTATGATTGAAAGAACCGCATATTTATTGAAATGTTAGGCCACGAAATAAATATTAAATTTAAGTATTTGATTGTAAAGTGAGTTTTTAATTGGTTACTACATAATTTGAAATTCGTTTTTAAATTTAAAGAATGTTAAACTTAATTATTTTGACAAAAATCAAATTCTCTCTTATATACAGGAAATAATGAAATAATAGGTGGCCACCAAATAACAAGTGGCAAACACTTAAAATCAAATACAGCACACATGTAGCAAAAATTTAATCACAAAGATAGTAAGTAACATGTACAATCGATAATACATGGCAGCATATGATGGTAAATGAAGATCTATTAATTTCAAACAATTATAAAGACATACTAATTTAGATTTACTATCTTAGTCATCAAAAAGAATTATTAAGGAGGAGATCAATTAAATCCATCAATTACAATCACCTTAAATCATACATACTAAAACTGGAGGTTCCTTAGGCTTTATTTCCCTCACATTGATTTAAGCATCAGAACTATCTAGTAAAAACTCAAGTTGCTTGCTTATTCATCTTAATATCTCTATTCATAAGAACTTATGTTAGTTATAAAACAAATAAAAAACTGTTCACCTTCTATACACTTGGGTTCTTAAGTACAAAAATAACAAGACACTATTTTTACAATATTACAATTCAACATTTTGCTTTCACCTGTGGCTAAATCTTAGTCTCGTCGAAAAAGAATATTACTTCCAAAAAGTAATCAGGACCCATGAGTGTCACTTGACCATAGATGATAGTCATAAGCCATATATGGCATCCATTAGTACACAACAGGTTTCACATGGAGAAAAAGACATCTAACACTTCATAATTAATTAAGTGGTAACTTTATACTAAAAATAACATAACATAACCTCTTAATGATAACGTATGATATTTAACTCAACTAAAATTCTTACCTTCATAAAGAATTACCAAAGCACCAATTATCCAGCTAAAGAATAATTGATAACAAATGACGTATAATATATATATATATGTGTATATTTGTAATGACATTCTGACCTAAACAAATTTAGACATCAATGTCATTCACAAAATATAACCCAATATCACAATTTGCTTATTTATCTAAGTTCTATGACTACTAGATTAGGATGGTCGCATATTCGTTACCTAATATATCTCAATTCAAATTTAACTTTATTAGGTATTTGTCTTTTTATCACCACACTGACCTTTCTACTAATAGTATTTAGTTTGTAATAGTTTAGCAAATAACAACTCCGATAATAATGCCAACAAACTAGTAGGCAAAAGGTCATTCATTATTATTGGCTTTGTCTATGTGCCTGTGAGGAGGAGATAGTTACTATGATGGGCGGGACAGAAAAATCTACATATTAATGCAAAAACCAAATACTGGTGAAGCACACCCGCAGTGCAAGTACTTTATATGATATCCATCTAGGTAATATATGATTTTTGGAAATAAGATCTCCTTAAAACAAGAATAGACCAAAATGACATTTCTCCACCTGCAAACAAGCATGTATAGGAAAAAGAATAAATTATAATTGGAAGGAAGAAAAGTTCAACTACGGGCTACTCCAACAAAATCCATGAAGGTAATTTTGTCTTGCATATAAGTATATCAATAATCTTTACCAAGTTTGTAATTTTTGCTCCAATATGTGGATTATGAAAGCATAAGATACCCAAGATTATAGTTTCACCTTTGCTTCAATGACATTGGAATCATTTTAGGAAATTCTCAACATCAATCACGAATTCGTACTTCACATCCATTTTTATTAACCTTTCAAGAGCTTCGTTGGCTTGCTGGATGGGAATTATCTCTATATGTGGGTAAATTTTATGAGCAGCACAAAAGTCAATAATTTCTTGGGTTAAATATAAACCTCCAATAACACTACTAGAAAAGGTTCTCATGCCTGTCAAAAGAGAACATTAAAGCATTTAATTCACCACTAAGCATATTCTTGATTGAAAGTTATATGATGACATTTAGACATTTGTTCAGAATATAAATATCACCAAATTACCCAGAATAAGGCTTGCATGACTGAATTTGACTTCACTTGGGAACCCCACCAGGATGTAAACACCAGCAATCTTCAAGAGCAACATGTATTGATCAAATAGGTGATCGCCAGAGGCTATATCAATGATAAAGTCCAGCGACTTAATGAGGCCCTGCATGTAATTTGTCAATTTTGAAAAGGATGAGTCATCATTTTCAAATATGCTGAAACGAAAAAACATGATTTCAAATAGCAAATTGTTTCCACCATAATATGCTCTGTGTCAGATGCTAGAACAAATCTATCAGCACCAAGTAAATTCAGGGCTTCCTCTTTCTTGGATATGCTTGTGCTAAAAACTGTTACTTCCAATCTAAAAGCCTTTCCAAATTTCACTGCAATGTGACCAAGACCACCAAGCCCTATCATGTCAAGGGACTTGCTAGATTGGTTTATCTTATACCGCATCATTGGGGCGTAAATAGTAATTCCAGCACAAAACAAATGTGTTACTGAAGCCAATGGATAGTCAACAGGTATCTGTTGATAAACTAACATTGTTAACATTACTAATGCACTAAACATGTTTCTTCAACATCACCTAAAGTATCAATACTCTCAAAAAGTTAAGTCAAAATATATAATATCGAAGCCTTACTTTTTGAATTTACTATAAGTTTTCCCTACCAAGTAGTGTAAGACATTATTTAGCTTCTCTTATATTAACTTTAGGGAATGTCAATATCTTATGGTTTAAAGACAATCAAATAGTTTTGCTATCATCTGAATCTACAAGGGAATGATTCGTCATTTAACATGTTGTATATGACATTTATACTTGAAACACACACTCTGAGTACATTAATAAGTAATTGATCCCTCCCAGATGGTTTGATCTAACAAAATGAACTCTATTATGAAATTCCTTAGATACCTAAGTGGTCTCGAACCTAGAATGTCCATAGAAACTGTAAAATTATAGGCACAGAATGCACAAACAACCTTCATCATGAGCACTCATCACTGATCAATTTGCAAGAATTCTTGTTCAGCTATGAATGCTAGCTTAATATTTTACAGCAGAAAGACAAAGAATTTAGAAAACCATATGGTCAGCCATTGCTGCCATCAATTTAATTACCAATGAAGTTAATCAATTCTCTAAAAGATTTAGTATGAAAAGATAACGACACAAGCAACACAACAAATGATCTGAAAGCACCTGCCTTTCATGGACGACAATAAAACTAGAGTATCCTCCTTTTATGACAGTACCATCTACATCAATGCCATTGAAAGTGGGAACTGACCCTTTTACACAATCAACCTCCAACCCATTATTACAGTAATCACAATCTCTACATGAGTTGATATAAGTTCCTATTCCTACATGATCACCAACTTTGAAGCGTTTAACACTCGAGCAAACCTCCTTCACAATTCCAACAATCTCATGTCTGCTTGCAAATCACCATATCAATGTTAGTACAAGACATCATTTTGAATTATTTGCAACATGGATTTAGGCCACATACCCAGGAACCACTGGATACTTTGAATCTCCATGTTTATTTATTGTCCAGACAACATCAGCATAGCAAACTCCACAATGGGTTATTACTAATGATATATCATCACTTTCAAACATCCTAAATGAGTTTTAGGCAGTAGATGATAAGATTATATTTTAAAAGTTCAAGATCATTTAACAACTACATACTTGCTTTTAATCAATACAAAAATATATGGTGCTCCATTTTCTTGGTCATCTATTTTCAAATACATAACCTGACATTGCCCTTTTTATAACATGGTGTTTTAGCCTAAAATTAACAAGAGGAACACAATGGGAATACCATGTATGTACACATTTATAATCATACCAGATTAACGGGACAATTCAAGTATGCTGATTAAATGGAAAACAAAATCTGTGGATGATTCTGAAGCTTAACAACAAGGTCAATTTGATCATGATATATATGAGAGTATGATACAATCAGTTGCAGTGATATATTTAGAAGTATAATACTATCTCTTGCCATATTTATATTCAAACTGTGGGACGAAGCTCAAAGCTTAACATGACTAAAGAATATATATGACCAATATATAATTATAGAAATCGACAAATTAGGAAGAATGAAAGTGCTCAAATAAGAACAAAGATAACAAAGAGGATATAGTTGATTGTCCAAAGTGTTTAGGATTTAAAGGCACCTGCGATTGAATTTAAAGGGGAGAGAACTCTAGATGAATCTCTTGCTGCCTAACCTACACAGTCTTCTTTTACAATCTCAGAACTCATGGTTGACTAATCTGCCGCACATAGGAATAAAATAAGTTGCTGCAAAAATCATTTTTCATTTTCTTTCACTAGTGTGAAAGAAGTCATAATATGTTTCCAAGATAACCTGTTCAAATACATACCAATGCAAGGAATTGATCAGTAAGAGATGAATTTTGTGTGGAGGCAGCAAAATCCCTCGAAACCTTGAAGAAAACATTAGACAATGTGTGAGGCTTAAACATATGGTACAATACCGCAGATAGAGAAGCAAACCGGAACTTGATGGAGTCTGATTACATAAAATTGATAAATACAGCATAAACTAAAATTTAAATTTTGACTAGTGTCAAAACTGCTTTACCATAGTTTTAAACGGTTTGCTTCTTGTAATTGGTAGAACCGATTTCTGGATTCTCCGAAATGTAGAATTTCCACGAATTGTAACGATCTGGAGCTCTGATAGAGAGAGAGAGAGATAAAAGGCAAACCGAAGAGCATAACGTTTTCTATATATAATCGAGAATAATTTGTAAGTGTATTATTTATATTCACACAAAGTAAAGAGGTAAAGGTAAAAGTAAAAGTAAAATAGTAAACAACAAACAGTTTAATGAATAATATAAAATTAAGTTAGTTAATCACTTAATTAACTAATCTAATACGAACCCTTCTCATATGTCCGCATCGATTTATGCTAATTGCTAATGGAACAATAACAGAATAGGTTGTGTGGATTGAATTCCCGTCTGAATTTATGGCAAACATTGACGTATGGATGTGTGTGAGTTTCTGAGTGAACCCGAGAAAATGATGATCCATCTTTTTTTAAAAAAATTTCAATCCCACAAAACAATTGTCAAAATAAACAAATTTAAATTTAAAATAAATAATAAATAAAACACAATTACAATAATAATAATATTAATAAATTATTTTATAATAATAAAAAATTATTTTTAAAATAAATTTTATTATTTTATTGTTATTATTATTATTATTATTATGATAATCATAATTATTTATTTTATTATTATATATTTTTATTTAATTTATTATTTATTTCAACCAAATAAATTGGAATATCAAATCTCTCTCTCTCTCTCTCTCTCTCTATGTAGATATAAATCTTTGTTTTCTAGGAGAGCCTTTTACACCAATTTTTTTCTTTTTTTTTTTTTTTTTTAAATTTGGATAACATGGTTATTATTTGGGATAGACATTTTGCAGCAACATTAGGACTTTATATGGAGGCAAGTTTAGACAACAATTAGAACATTTTTTTTTTTATATAAATAAGATGGTTAAGAATTTTTTTAAAAAAATTTGTGAAACGGTTAAAACTAATTCACATTCATATTTTTATAAATAATAATAAAATTAATAAAAGTATATCACTTGTTAACAAATTTCACATATACCACTATAAATTAATAGTGTTAGTTTTTATTTGCAGTATATATTAAATAAATTTTTTTAAAAAGTAAAAAAATAAATTTAATTTAAAATTAATTGAGGAGCTAATTTAAATAAAATTAAAAAATCAAGAACCAAATTATTATTATAGCCTTACTATTACCATCACATAGAGTGAAGGAGGAGGATAATGATTTTAAGTTATTACATCAACAAATAAAAATTGAACCATATCCCACCACATTTTTTACGTAAAATGTTTGACGTATTATATGGTTTCGAGATTTTGCGGAGAGTTTAAATGTGAACTAGTTTGAACTAATTAGCAAATCTCAGTTTAAATGAAAAAAAATGATAAAATAATTTAAATTAAAAAAAAAATTAGTCTAAACTATTCTCAGTTTAATAATACCAGAGGGCCAAAAAAAGTAAAAACTAATTAGCAACAGACAGGATAGATCAGCCCAGATAATGGGTCAAGCTTCCAGGTTTAAGCATAAATCAAAGCACTACCACATGATCTAGTCCTATCACAAAGTAAACTCTTCTCTGGTCCAGAAAACAATATTTTTTTTTATTTATCATATGAAACATTGGCAAATTAGTATGATCCAGAGGGTTGCAAAATGTTGCTAGACACCACCAACATGGTATAATCAAATCTAGTAAAATGTGCAGACTGTTTCATTGCATTCTAAGAAATTCAAACAGAGAAAAATCTTTACACAGTTTTATAGATCATCCGATTTCAGCGCAAACCATATCAGAATAAATCCTAGGTAAATGCTTGTAAGGAGAATTCGTAAGGAGAATTCGGGCTGGCTTCAGAACCTAATACCTAAGTTATTTTGAAGCTGATGCTGGGAAATGGTAGCTCAAAGAAGCATCCGTACAAAAGGAAGCACACAAGTTCCAAAGAACAGGAAAAGCAATGGCAACGGATCTCCACTCATCTTATTTTCTTTGCTTCTTCCCCTTCTTCTTAGTCAAGGGCTTCTTGGTTTGCAGTTTTAGTTCAGAAGCAGTTTTCGATTGGTCACTTTGAGGTTCTTCCGGCAAAGTACAGTGCAGAAATTTCTTGTTGGAACCAATTTGGTTGCAGAATAGCTTCAGCATCTTTCTTCCCCTCATCCACTTGAGCATTATTTTCATGTGTGTTTTGCTGTTTAATCCACTAACACCAGCGTCCTGTTATAAACAAACATTAAGAGGGTAAAGTAAAGGGAACAAAACGGTAAAACAATTCAATCATAAAAGTATAATTTACTTCAATACATGCATCTAATCCTATATTTTGATGAAGGATGAATAACCCTGATTAGAAGATCCCGGTACTTCATTCATGTTTCCTTAAACATTCCCAAAAGAAAGCCTGAATTTAACAACTAGTACTACTACTACGAGCTTAAAAAAAAAACCTGAATTTAACAAGTACTACTACTATTACTACTACAAGCTTAAAGTAACTGCTTCTATGTGAAATACCAAATTGTCACACAAAGCATGATGGACAGAGTTACAGTTGGGACAGTGGGGAGCAACTGTCTCATTTCAGTCCAAGAAATGTTTATTTATATATACTGATATTTTCATTAATTTTCAAAATTCCTCCATTATATTTGAGAAAGGAAATACAGCACTATGAACAGTAACAAAGAATCAAGTAATATGATTTTCCACAAAAAATTACGCGAACCAGAAATTTTCCTTTAAGTTTATTTTGACTTTATTAACCTCAAAGATCTTCATGTACATAAGTCAAAAATAAAATGCCAAATAATCTCAGTGCCCTTTATTGATTAAGTTGCCTTCAGATAGAAAAAAATCTAGTACCAAACACCAAGAGATGAATAACCAGCATATATGATCATCAGACAAAGTGCTTGCATATGGCATAATTGCATTAGCAGATCACTTGGATTTAACATAATCTAAGACTATGTTTGTAACAAATCAACTTCATTTGTAGAATTTAGTTAGTAATTCATACATAATTTAACTATGAGAAGTGAAAAGCGTGTATAAAATAATTGACCTTCTATCATTCTCTAATAGAATTTTCATCAATTCTAGTGTTATAATCGGAGTAAATCTAAAACTTTTATAGACTTCCTTTTTCTTACAGATAATAAGTATGGTGTGATTCATTCATTCACAAGCAACAAGGTGGTGCCAGTCTATTTACAAAACAATATTTACATTTCAATTAAAATATCAATAAAGTTCTCAGAATCCTCAATTGTGTAAAGAAAATGATTCATAATAAAAAAATCGGAGTTTGGAACCATCTATCTCTTACCCTATCAAAGTCAACTTCCAATCTCTCGAAAGTTCTCTTGTTCCTCTATTTCCACGCTACCCAAAAGATAGCAAGAGGAATGAGACTCACATGTTTATTCCCTCCACTAATACCCAAAATCTTTATAGAATTCATTTACAAATCCATACAACTAAAACATTATAAAAATAACTAAAAATAATAAAAATGGACCTCATATAAAATTAGAGGTACAATTAGAAAACCATGAATTTCAAATTCCATCAAGATTAGAACAATGAGTTTCAATTTTTATTATCTTTTGATAAAATGTAGATCATCTACTAACTAAACTAAGTGTAGATTTATAAATAAATTCTATAAAATTTCTAAATTTTTTTCGAATAAATACTTCGTGTAAATTTTTAAGTAAATTATATAAAAATAATGAATCGGTTCCAAACATAGCCAAAGCTCCCTTTGGTCGAAGCTTGCATTCCACTGGCTATGAACAACTGCAAAAACGCTAGAGTTCAAACTGCATAGCTATTCTGAGTATCTGAACTTAAGACAAATAAAATGGCAACAACCAACAAAAGATGAACAGGCAAACAATGAAGGAAAAACTTAAAGAACTTTTGAGTAAAAAATGACAAAGTACGTATTATAGCTGCTTCTGAATGTACTTATTATATCAAGCCAATTCCTTTTTCTTTTCTCACAATTTAACTGAGATTTCTATATGCTTTCATTAACTAAAAAAACAGAGAGTGGAAAAGTAAAGAAATTTGAACCTACCTTCGCATGGATCCAGGTGTTGGAGACGGTGAGAGGGCCATGGAGCTTGATGATATCATAAAGAGAATGGGAGATGGCGTACGCTTCCTGCGTCGGCACCTTCGGGTTGATTTTCCTCACGTTCACTGCGCATTTCCGGGACATGTGCCTAACGAATATCTCACCGGCCATTCTCCCTATACTACTGTTGTTGCTACCACTCCATGCTTGGAGAACTGAAGCTCTCAATTTCACTCCTCCTCTAAACCACATCGTCTTTCTTCTGCTTCTTCCTCCTCCGCTGTAGTCCGACAAGGGTTTTGCATCTCTAAGGCCTTCTTCATGTGAGCACGTGATGCTCACGTGGACTCCACTCAATTGGGCTGGGTTATCCACTTATTAATTGGGCTGGGTTACCCACTTATTAATTGGGACTCTGCATCATATTTCCCTCAATTTCTTTTTCCTTTTTTTCGCTGAGCAGAAGAACCGGCCGGAAGTATATGATAGTTCCCTTGGCGCTTGAACAGTAGGGCTCCAGGGAAGACGGATTTGCTGTTTACCGGCATGTCGTCGTCGGTGACGTCGACGTCGACGTCGTGGTCAGGAGTTAGGTGTTGGAGGACGGCGTTTCTGACGTTGAGAGATGAAACTCTGACGAGCCCACCGCCACCACTTGCTCCGTTGCTTCAAAACCTCATTTTCTCCCACCATCACTCTTTGCTCTCTGCTGCCTCCGAGCTTCCTCCTCACGAGGTGATTCAATTCTGTCTCTTCTAATCATACAGAGCTGTCTCTTCTTGCTTTGTTTGTTTAATTTTTGTTCGCATTTGAATTTCTTTCACTGTTTAAATGTTGCAGGTCACTTCGGATTTGTTGTTTCTTCTGGAACTGGTTGCCACAGCAAATGCTTCACATGGCGGTGATGCTGGAGAAATGATTCCTGCATCTGCTCACACTTGCCGCTTGGTGAGCCTTATCATTCTGATGATAAATGGTCCTTTTGTTTTTGTTTGAATATTATTTGGCTCTTACTGTTGTCAGTCTCGCTCTGTCCTAGATCCATGATGTCTGTTATCGGGTTTCTCTCCAACTCAATCCTTCTTCCTGGACCCTTGTCCTTAACTGTTTTGCCAAAATCTTGGATTTCCTTCTCGGCGCGCCTGGTAATACACCTTCCGTTTCACCAAATGCAAATGCGAGTGCACCTAGAACAAGAACCGTTATGGATTGTTTGGAGACTTTGAGGTTAGTTGCTCTCAGTTTTGACTGCAATTTTTCTTTTCATCTATGGACTGAATATGGTGTATATACTGACTCATGCCATAATTCTTCCATTTTCACAGACGATTTACCATTTATAGAAAAACCTCCGTTTCAGAGGATGTCCACCTGGTCAAGTTCCTTCTGAACAGCATAGAATGCTTGCAAACAGACTTGGTTTTTTCATATCGTTACCGCCAAAGTTCTTCTGCCAATGCTGCGAACAGATGCAGTGGCTTATGGGAATTTCAAGCTCTTGCCTTTACTATGCTCGGTGAAGCATTTTCTGCATCTGGATCTTCATTTCCTCGTGATATTTGCCAATCAATAATTGAGGTAAATGTATTCCATAATTCATTGTTGTACTTCTGGTGTTTATACAAGTTTGGGATTCTCAAGTGTGTGTAACGTGAGTTAGGTTCTTAGAAAAGTGATGGATGTCCTAGGATCTAAGAGCTTGCTTGTGGAAGACAATGTTATGTCAAGGTATCATAATCTCCTTTCCTCAGAAACTAGTGGAAAAAGTTAGAACCTGTATAATGTCACTTCCCTTCTCTTGGTGTATTTACCCATAATCCTGTGACTCTTAACAGTTAGTTATGATACTGCAGGTTCTATGCGTCTCTTCTACAATGTTTACATCTGATCCTTGTAGATCCCAAAGTTCCCCTTTCTGATCACGTAAGTACATGAATTTTGAGTTTGAAGAACACAAACGACATCATGGTTGTGATTGTCTGAATGTCCAATAGACATAGCCTTTTGTCTTTTCTCATTTTAAGAAAAAAAAAAAAAATTAACTTGCAGGTGTCTAGTTTTGTATCAGCATTACGGATGTTCTTCGTTTATGGACTTTCTAGTAGAATACAGCCTTCATGTCCTGATGTTGCTCACAAGGAGAAGCAGCCTGATTTAATGACCCTGAATTTGAATGCACAAGAGCCAAAGAGGAGAAATCATGCCCCATATAGGCCTCCCCACTTGCGGAAAAAGGAAAGCATTAACCTGAAGCAGGACAAAGTTCTGGATTCCCAGTGTTTATCTGATCACGAGTCTTCAGTGGTAGATTTGACTTCATTAGATTCAGATTATAGTGACAGTGAAAAATCTCTTAATGATCCTGACTGTGTTCAGAGGTCTAAGGTTAGAGTAGCTGCTCTTGTTTGCTTACAGGTAGGGGTACGTTTATTTTCTTTTCCCTATTTCTTGTCACCTTGACACTGTATACTATTGAACCATAATAGGTCTTGATTTTGTACTTTAAATTCTCATTAAAAACATGATGACATGAATACAGGCCCGCCGAGGTCAAAGAATTTAGTATTGAATTTATAATGTCTTAAAGTTTTTAAAATGAAATCTAGGCATGTAAAATTGATAATTGAAGGATTTGATTAAAGGATCATCTTTTTCTAGCTTCTAGTTTACAATCTATATATATTCTTTTCAAAAAAAAAAAAAAATACTTTTCTACTTTTCATTTCAAAAAAAAAAAAAAATATATGTATCTTCTTTTCATGCTCAAGTGATTTGGTAGGAGGCCAAAATTTAATGCTCAGGCCGCCATGAGTTGGTTGAGGATGCTACTGTTATAAATGATTTCTAATTATAAGATCTAGGATCTAATTCTTTTGCTGGTATGATGTATGTTTGTAGCACTTATCTAGAAGTATTCAGATAATCTAATTCTTTTGCTGGTATGATGTATGTTTGTAACACTTATCTAGAAGTATTCAGATCATAAATCTCACTTGCAAACTATGCTCTGCCCAGTTGAGATTTGTTCAATTATAAAGAAACTGCCTCATTTTTCAAAACTAAAGAAGAACCTTTTTTTTTATTAACTACGATGTAATTTCTCCTTTTCCTATCCACTTTTTAAAAAAATTCTCTTAAAATGTTCTATTGCCACTTCATAATGTGTCATAAATATTCAAAATACCTCCATCTACTCTTCAAAGCACCTTAAAAACAAACAATTTTTTATTCTAAGAAGGAAAAAAGAACAGTTGTATTTGCTTTTAGCTAAAATTAAGCAATTGATCTTCAGGAGGAAAAAAAAGGAACAGTTGTTAGCAGGCATGTCTCCTTTCATCTTGTCTGCCATATGTTATGTGATTACCACATTTTAGATAAATATTTCTGCCAATTTAAAAAAATATAGCAAGAAGCAAATTATATAACAGTCGGTAATAGTTATTTTAAAAAATAAATAACAGTTGGTAATAGGATTTTTATTCATTTTTAAAGGGTGAGGTTTTTTTACGGTGAAATGGACCTCAAGAGGGTAGCCATACTTTGCCATTGTTTTGGAAGATTGATATAATATTCTTATTAAAGTAAAATACAGTTATATATATCTGTCTTGCTTGGCACATGTTTGAACAGTTTTGTCTACATTTAAAACTATCTTTTGAAGTAATCTTTTAAGTGGAAGTTGATTTTTCTGTTTATTTAATTCTTCTAGTTATGGGAAGATATTTTGTGCTTATTTTTAGTTTTATATGCTGAAACTACAATTGAATAACAAGTGAAATCAATCCATCTAATTTTGTCATGGTTTTGGCTGATCTTTTTTATTGTGAGAAAAGGATCTTTGTCAGGCTGATCCCAAATCATTTACTAGTCAATTGACAATTCTTTTGCCAACTAATGATGTATTACGACCAAGGTGAGACTTTTTTTTTAATTCTTGTTGAACTAATTTGTCTAGGCTGTCATGATTTTCCAAGGTCTAATAGTACTTGCTCCATGCAGGAAGTTTGAAGCAACTTTAATGACAGTCTTGTTATTTGATCCTTATTTGAAGGTAATGGTTGTGTTCTTTATAGATGATATCTATCCAAGATCGATTTTTCTGCCCACTGATTAATGATGTGGATTAATTTGCTAGACAGATGTTCTTCTTATAATTTCTTGTGATTATGCTTTCATGTCAGTTGCATATCTAATCCAAAATTTCCGTCTTTGTGGTGCCTAGGCGCGGATGACATCTGCTTCAACTCTTGCAGTCATGATGGATGGGCTATCATCTGTTTTCCTGCAAGTAGCAGAGTACAAGGAATCTAATAAATATGGATCTTTTATGGCCCTTTCCAGCTCTCTTGGATTGATATTAATGCAACTTCATACTGGTACTTGAAGTTGGCTGTGAATTCAGTCAGTTGGTGTTAATTGTACTTCTTTTGTTTCTAGTTCTTCTTGATGTCCACTGCCTACATGTTTTCATGTTTGAATTCTATTAATATTTCTGTGTTTTATGGTGTAGGTATTTTGTACTTAGTCCAGTGTGAAACTCATAGTAGATTGCTGGGATCCTTATTCAAGATTCTTGTGCTATTGATTTCATGCACTCCGTATGAATCCTCCTTCATTTGACTGTTTTTCTCAATGAATACTTCTCCATATGGTTATCCTGGATTTTAAAATCCTAAAAGTACTTTTGTTCTTGAATGAATCACTATAGATTACTGTAATCTTGTTTGCTCTTTCTATTTTATGACTTTCTTTTGTACTAATAGTGTTAGTTTGCCTTTGTAAATTCTCTGTATACCTCTTTAATGGCCCTCTTTTTGAAACTATGATCTGTAAGTATTCAAATGTAGATTTGGGCCATCTGTAATAGACACCGCTTCAAATGAACTAAGATTTTGCAATGTCAAAAAGTCACACCTATCTCTTTATATATCTAGATGATTGTGCATGTTTGTGTACAGCTGTAGCAGATGCATAGCCAAAATTTTGCTGCAACACATGATAAGTTGCAGGGTTTTTGGTTGATCATCTGCTTTTGATGATTATCACCACAGCCATTTGTACCATATGTTGTCAGATAATATGATTCTTTTACCTGATAATATTGTACTGAAAGTAGCTTTGACCTTATTGCATGTCAGGATGGTTTATGTTTGAACTAGAATTTCTAACCTCCAAACTTACAGCAGTATGATCTTGACCTTACTAGGTTGTGAATGTTAGTAAGGTCGTGAATTTTTAAAGATTCATGTAAATGATGCATTTGCAGCAGTATGAATTCTTTCCTAAAGTTTGTCATGCTTTAGCCCATTGAGAAAACAATGCATTTATGTGCTTATATTGTTTCTCTTTCTGTTTAAATCATTGAATAGATATTCAAGAATGCCTGGAGATTTGTTGCCAACAGTAATTACATCTTTAGAGAAGAGGATTGGGGAAGGATTTCTGTTCAAAACAGATCAAACTGGTTTGCTGGTTGGTATTTTTCTTCCCTTGGTTTTATTTAAGTAATTCTTTACTTGTTGCACTAGGCTGGGGATGGCGGTGGGAAATTAAGACTTCTTGCCCTCAATAATATCTATTTTACAACTTTTCCTTTCTGTAGGTTGCTGCAATGGGTTGCTTGACAGCAGCTCTTTGTACCTCCCCTTCCCTGCTGCAAGTTAGAGAGATACTTTTGGAGGAGATATCCACAGGTTGGCTTCATTTTCTTTGTTAAACCTTTGGGGTTAGTATAATTTTGTTTGGAGAACTTACATGCACTATTGTTACCTGGTTGGTTCATGTTGCTTACTTTGGTTCAATTGAAAATGTAGAAAATATAGGAAAATAAATTTGTTTCTTTTCTGTTTTGCCTAGTGGAGAGAATCTCAAAATGGTTATAACCATTTCTGCAATTCTTTCTCCCCATAAATTTGTTAGGAAGTTGTTATTTTTGTTGCTTTATTTTCTATAAATTGTAGTACCGCCAAGAATGAAATTAAGACAAGTAGAAGAGGATTTTCCATTCTTCAAACCTTCATGGTATCAGAGCGATTCTGATCCAGGAGAATCATCCCGATTGAGCCGCAGTCAAAAATGGCATCGGGAGAACTACCGTCTTCTCTACCAGAAATTTCATCGGGCTCTTACCATCCTTCTCCTACCAGACATGGCTTGGTTGAACCATCCTCATCATTCCTTACTTGGCATAAGCTGAATGATAGCAATTACCTTTAGTGGTCATCGTCAATATTACTCTTCATTCGAGGCAAAGGTCGCGAAGAGTATTTTACTTGTGAACTCTTACCTCCACCGGCGAATGACCCGAATGCTCGAATATGGAAGATTGACAACAGTATAGTAATGTCGTGGCTCGTAAGCTCGATGACGCCCGATATCGCAGAAAATTTCCTTCTCTACGAGACTGCACAGAAAAATTGGGAGGCAGCTCGGAAACTCTACTCCAATAAGGAAAATACATCAACTATCTTCGAAAACAAGTCCACCCTTCACGAACTGAGACAAGGTGAACTAAATGTAACTCAGTATTATAATTTTCTATCTCGCAGCTGGCAGCAACTGGATGCCTTCGAAGAAAGGAGATAGAACTGTCCCGAGGACGTTAGAAATTTCCGGTCATTTGTGGAGGAGAAACATATTTTCAAATTTCTGCTGGTT